ACGACCAAAAACTCTAGATCTGGAGATATATTTCATTATTGTATAAGTAGGTATATTTCTTTAAATGTGTTTTAGTGATAAATGTGATCTTTGGGATTCAATCGTAATATTTGAATTATTATTTTAGGAATTATTAGTTTGAGCAATTGGATTCGCATGGTGACATTGTCAATAAATTTTTAAAAAATTAAACAAACATTATCGTACAATCACTTCGACTATTAAAAAAATTGGATCGAATCTAAAAGTTATAAGCCATAAAAGTACATCATGGAAAATCATCCATAACAACAACCAGTAATTCTAATGAATGGCTCACAAATCCTTTTCATGTTCTTTGCCATAAACAAATTCGAATCCCACGTTAGAGACTTGATAAGAACTAAACTATAATAAAGCATGTCAGAGTTTTGGTAAGAATGTAAACTAATCAATTCCAGGCAGGCAAATTAAATAAAAACTTTGAAATTTTTTCAAATAATGTAGCTATAAGCACATCGAATCCCACACTTGAGATTTGGTAAGATCTTAAAATATAGCAAATTGTGTTAAGAGGTTTAGTAAGAAGTTAAACTATAGTAAATTATGCTAGAGGTTTGGTGAGAACTTAAAACCAACAAATTTGAAGGGACGTAGATGAAATTAAATTTTTCGAACAATATGTACCCATAAACACCTCCTAGTCCCACCTACTGTAGAGGTTTCATAAAACAAGGTGTTTATAACCGGCTATTCGAATTTTTTGATATTCCAAATAAGTAATAAAATATTGATTCGTATCTTAGTCTATTATATTTTGGTACTTGTAAGTATGATATGTATTAAATTTTCGTATCTATATTTTTAAGTCACGGATTGAGTGTTTCATCGAGTTAAATTGAATTAAAGTGTTTTGAGTTATTCGAGTTTACGAGCCATATTTTATAATTTAAATTTTATTTTGTATTTTTTCTAGTCGAGTCTATAAAATTTGAGTCAAGTCGAATTGTTCAAGTTATGGTTAAATTTAATTGTAAATATTTATAATATTATGATACTATTTGAATTTAATTTAAATATATCTTTCTCTCTCTTAGATTAGTTTTCAAATTTTTATATGTGATATACATATATCATATAGAGTTGAAGAACTCTACTTAAATTTGAAAACTAATTTAATTACTAAAAATTTTGAATTATTAGAATTTTATTCTATAACTCGACTTAGTTTTAATTTTTTTTGAGTCGAGTCAAATTTATAAAATTACGAGTCAAATCTATTTAAGTAATTTTTTTCAAATCAAATCAAATAGAAAAAAATTGTTTTTTCAAATTTTATTCACCGTCAATGTAATAAATTGCCAATTTGTATGAACCTTTAAGCCTTGAACAAATTTCCCTTTTTTGCGTTATTTTTTTATTTGTGAAAAATAAATAAATCCACATTTCCACCGTTAACATCTACAATGTAACTTAATTTTCTAAAAGAAATTTGAACTTTAATTTTTCAAAGTCATCTTACGATTGTGAATTTCAAAACAATAAAAAAATTAACATTTTTTATTGTAATCTAAAATATTACGAAAAAGATTTATATTCAAAAAAAATTTAAAAAATTAACATATTAAGTTTCGCACAACTTTAAAATGTTATATTTATTTATAATATTTTAAACCATACATTTATTTAACCTTATATTAAACTGTTGTACTCCTCAAACAAATCCAAGTAGCCGAAAAATGATTTTATTCTTGTTTCTCCCGAGACCTTCTAAAATAATGTGGATTTAAAAACAATAATGAATTGACAGAAACGAAATGTTTTCGAGGAAAGATTTTAGATTTTTTATTATTAAAAGATTTATAAAATGTTTTCTTTAAAAAGTTGGGTAAATATTTTTAGAGTAAATTACATGTTTACTCACTAAATTTTATTTTCTCTTCTATTTCACTCATCGTACTTTCAATTTTTTTAATTTACTCACTGAATTTTAGACATTAAACCTTTTTACTCACTCGACCGTTAAATTTCTAACGGCATTACAACGTTTCTAAATTAAAATTTAAAAATTTAAAAATACAGTAAATGAAATAGAAAAATGATAAAATCCAATCCATAAACATGTGATATGTTTTATTATTAAAATAAACCAAATAAACACCCCGTTCCTGAGTATGTCATTGTTTTGGTAAGAATGTAATAAAGTATGTCAGAGTTTCGGTAAGAATGTAATAAAGTAGGTTAGAGTTTCGGTAAGAATGTAAACTAATGAATTCCAGGTGGACAAATTAAATAAAAACTTTGAAAAAAAATCAAATAATGTAGCTATAAGCACATCGAATCCCACACTAGAGATTTGGTAAGATCTTAAAATAATGTTAGAGATTTAGAGTAAATTATATGCTCAGTCATTGAACTTTAGATATTAAATTTTTTTGTCATTGGACCGTTAAATTTTTAATGGCGTTATGACGTTGTTAAATTAAAATTAAAAAATTAAAAAATACAGTGAGTGAAATAAAAAATATGATAAAATTTAGTGAGTAAATGTATGACATATTTTATTATTAAAATAAGTCACGTAAACACCGAGTATACCAGAATTTTGGTAAAAATGTAATAAAGTATGTTAGAGGTTTGGTAAGAATGTAAACAAATCAATTACAAGTGGACAAATTAAATAAAAACTTCAAAATTTTTTCAAATAATGTAGCTATAAGCACATCGAATCCTACACTAGATATTTGGTAAGCTCTTAAAATATAATAAATTATGTTAAAGGTTTAGAGTAAATTACATGGTTACTCACTAAACTTTATTCTCTCTCCTATTTTACTCACTGTACTTTCAATTTTTTTAATTTGCTCATTAAATTTTAGACATTGAATTTTTTTGATCACTCGACTATTAAATTTCTAACGATGTTATGACGTTGTTAAATTAAAATTTAAAAATACAGTGAGTGAAATAAAAAAATGATAAAATTCAATAAATAAACGTGTGACATATTTTATTATTAAAATAAACCAAGTAAATACCTTACTACCGAGTATGTCAGAGTTTTAGTAAGAATGCAATAAAGTATGTTAGGGTTTTGGTAAGAATGTAAACTGATCAATTTAAGGTTGATAAATTAAATAAAAACTTTGAAAAAATTTCAAATAATGTTATCTATAAGCACATCGAATCCTACGCTAGAGATTCGGTAAGATCTTAAAACATAATAAATTACGTTCGAGGTTTAGTAAGAAATTAAAGTATAGTAAATTATGCTAGAGGATTGGTGAGAACTTAAAACCACTAATATAAACAATAATGATTTTATTCTCCCGAGACATTTTAAAATATTGTGGATTTAAAAACAATAATGAATTGACAAGTGGGGGAAAGGGAATGTTTCGAGGAAACGTGGGCGGGGGGGGGGGGGGGGGGGCTGGTGTTTTAGAATTTTTATTATTGAAAGATTTATAAAATGTTTTCTATTAATACGTGGGTAAATATTTTTAAAGAGAATTAGTTATTTTTAAATTCCCAGCAAAAAGTTAGCACATAACACGTATATTGACCCCTAAGTTTTTTTTTATCAATTATTTTCAGTGAAATAAATTATTTTTAAATTAATGTTAATATTTTTAATTTAAATAAAAGTAGTTGATTTTATTTAAAAAATATACTTAAAATTAAAATAAAGATTTATAATTATAAATTAAAAATTAAACACATAATGTGAACATATCCCTATAAGCATTGATGGAAGAAACTAGTTACTCGTAGGGATGAACACGAGATTCAAATTCGATGGGTTTCGACCCGATTTGAATCAATTGGATAGGAAAAATTGGATTCGGGGTGAGTCAGGTTTTTAGAGGAGATGTTTGGTTTAAGTCGGTTTGAGTTTAGGGTAAAAAATATTCGACCTAAAAAATGATATAATTTATCTTAGGGATAATTGTGAATAATACCACTCTTTATATTGTTTTTTTCAATTAGATCCATATTTTATTGAATAAAATTAATAATTTTTATAAATATATTTATTTCGGATATGGTTTGGCTCGGATTTTATCTCAAAAACTTGGATAGAATTTCGAGAAGTCTGGGTTCGAATGGAGGAAGTCTTTTTTCGGATTAAGTCGGGTTGGTTGAACACCTAACCTATGCCCATCCCTATCCACTCGAGATCATACAAGAATCAAACAAGGTAAATATTAAAAATTCATAAAAAAAATACTTGAACAGAAGATAGATACGAACAGATTTGATTGCATCAATAAACAAAGCACAATAGATGATCAAACTTTTAAAGACGGCTAATAATTGCAAACCAAAGTTGAGGAAAGTGAGAAAATTATCTTCGAACACAAACCGTATGTCCAAACCCAATTCAAACGTATAAAGTAGAGAACATTACCAAGATAACAAATAAATGTCAAATTCAACTATGAAAAAATTAAACAAAGAAACGACCAAACAATAGATAAAGAAGATTGAAAATGCGTCAAAAGAAAAAAAAATTTGTTGTAAAGACAGAAAAAACATATAGTAGAAACATTATTAAAAAAAAATAAAGGAAAAGTATCTATGTAATATATGAAAGTAAAGGAAAAAATAAGAAATATCAAGGGTAGACGATTGATATCAACACTGATTATGTCATCTATTAAATAAAGAAGAAGAAAAAAAGGAGTAAGCGAAGAGAAACAAGTGTGTTCAAAGAATTATGGTTGATATATTTTTTAATAGTGTCATTTTAAAATATTTTTATATAAAAGTTATTAAAATACTTAGAATTTTTTTAAGTGTCAATTGAGCCACGAGTTTAAAACGTATTCAAATTATTCCTGATTAGTTGTCACCAAATGGAAAAAAAAGGGCACTAAATTGACATATTACAAATAAATTATGATAAACTATCTTTTTGGTCCATAGATTTTTTTTAAATTAGTCCTTAGAATTCAACTATAAATAGATTAATTGTTTCATCATTCATACCATCTTAATCATTCTACAATTAGAGAAGTTTGAAAGTTAAAAGAGTTGTTTCAAATGGATGGTACTATGAAAGTTTACTGCAAGGCCAATCTTGGTTATAATCTTACAATTAGAAATGGTAAGGTTGTTCTTGCTCCATCTGATCCCAAAGATGAATTCCAGGTACCATATTAGCAGATCTCACTTTATCTTACTTTTTTTTTTCTAAACCTTTAGAGTGTTAAAATTTTTGGTTTTGGTGTTTATCTTTGTTGTTGTTTTAGCATTGGTATAAAGATGAGAAGTTCAGCTCAAGTGTGAAAGATGATGAGGGCTTTCCCGGTTTTTCTCTGGTTAATAAAGCCACTGGTGAAGCCATTAAACATCCCACTGGAGCACGTAATTTTGTAAGAAACCCGTTGTTTCTTCATAAAACGGCTAAAAAAGTACGTTTTTGAATTTGTCAGCCTTGAAGGTTTGCTTAAAAATTATGAGATTTAAATCCACAGGTCCAACTGGTACCCTACAAACCAGACGTTCTGGACAAGTCTGTATTATGGACTGCGTCGAATGATGTGAGGGATGGCTACAAAGCCATACGTATGGTTACTAACACTCACCTGAATCTCGATGCTTTCATTGGCAATGGTAGCATAATTAATGGTACCAATGTTGGTGTATGGGAATGGAATTGTGGAGATAATCAAATATGGATGATTGCACCAAATACTGGACTTGGTAAAGTTGTTCTTGCTCCATCTGATCCCGATGATGAATTCCAGGTACCATATCTGCAGATCTCAGTTAATCTCGTTTTTCTAAAACATTTGATTGCTAAAATTGAAGATTAAGAAAAAAACACGGATCATATTTTGATTTTGGTGCTAATTTTTGTTGTTGTTTTAGGTGTGGTATAAAGATGAGAAGTTCAGCTCAAGTGTGAAAGATGAAGCGGGTTTTCCAGGATTTTCTCTAATTAATAAAGCTACTGGTGAAGCCATTAAACATGCCATTGGAGCACGTTTTCCTGTAAGAAATTCTGTGTTTATTCATGTTGAAAAATAACGTATTTTTTAAATTATATTATATTATTTGTAAATTATAGGTTTAAATAATAAATTGTAGATTTATATTTATATTTTTATTTAATGAAAATTTTAAAACTATATATAACGTGATCTAAATGATTGAGTAATGAATGAGAAATTATTTCTCAAAGTAAATCACTGGCAAATATTATTGAAAAATGAAAGAAAAAAAAATGATGGCTAAAACATTTCCATCCCACATTGATAATGTATGGAATATAGAAGGAGTTTGTAAGCTAGAAGCCTGGAACCATCTACTTGAGGAGAATGTGTAAGCTAAGACTCTCTCTATGTACTAGGAGAGTTAGTGGTGCACCTGCACAAAATGTAGAACATAAAATACAATATTGTGTTTTATTGTTTCCTAGGAGACAAATAACAAAAAAAAATTCTATTTTAATTTTTTTATTATTATAATGTATAGTTTCATTATTACTATTACATAATATTGTAAGTGTATTATATTATCTTATCTACCACATTGTATTGCATTATTATTAGTAGTATTATTTATTACTATTGTCATGTAAAGACTTCATATGCCCTTAATATCTTGTGATTCATACCACTACTAGTCAGATACGTTTGGAATTTATTAGCCTTAAAACTTTTGATTAAAAATTACGGGATTTTGATACGCAGGTCCGATTGGTACCCTACAAACCAGACGTTCTGGACGAGTCTATATTATGGAGCGCATCGAATGAAGCCAGGGATGGCTACAAAGCCATACGCAATGTTACTAACACAAGCCTGAATCTAGATGCATTCATAGGCAGTGGTAGCATAATTAATGGTACCACTGTTGGTCTATGGAAATGGAATAATGGAGACAACCAAATATGGAAGATTGTACCAAATACTGTGAATATTTACTGCAAGGAAAATCCTGGTTATAATCTTACCATCAGAAATGGTAAGGTTGTTCTTGCTCCATCTGATCCCAATGATGAATTCCAGGTACCGTATCAGCAGATCTCACTTAATTTCGTTTTTTTTCTAAAGCTTTTGAGTGTTAAAACTTAAGATTAAGGAAAAACACGGGTCTTAGTTTGATTTTGATGTGAACCTTCGTTGTTGTTTTAGCACTGGTACAAAGACGAGAAGTTCAGCTCAAGTGTAAAAGATGATGAAGGTTTTCCCGGTTTTTCTTTGATTAATAAAGTCACTGGTGAAGCCATTAAACATGCTAGTGTTGAACGTGATCTTGTAAGAAATTCTTTGTTTATTCATACCACTGCTACGTAAAAATACGCTTCGAATTTATTAGCCTTAAAGCTTTGCTTAAAAATTACGGGATTCCGATACGCAGGTCCAATTGGTTCCCTACAAACCAGACGTTCTGGACAAGTCTATATTATGGACTGCGTCGAATGATGTGAGGGATGGCTACAATGCCATACGTATGGTTACTAACACTCACCTGAATCTCGATGCTTTCATTGGCGATGGTAGCATAATTAATGGTACCGGCATTGGTGTATGGGAATGGCATAGTGGAGACAACCAAATATGGATGATTGTACCAAGTTCAGTGAGAGTTTATTGTAAAGCCAATCCTAATTACAATCTTACAATAAGACCTTGTAAGGTTGTTCTACAGGTACCTTCTCAGCAGATCTCAGTTAATCTCGTTTTTCTAAATCTTTTAAGTGCTAAAACTTAATATTAAGGGATTACAATCCATAAAAGTACAGAAAGGAAAATCCTCCATTACTTAACTATTCACCAAAATTATCCCAGTTAAACAGAATATGGGCAGATAATTGCTCCCAACTACTTCTAAACTGAGTACAAACAAAATATTTAATACTCTAAATTCACCAAAATTAGAGCACAGTAGCTAGTTGTTTTTAACATGTCATTTATCCTAAATGACCTAAAGAAAGATGAAGCAAAACAACCTATAATCACCCAGGTCTTTAGCTATTTTTTTAGACCTTTCTAATATATTTTTTTTAGCATGTACAAGTATACATACTTGGGGAAAAATTCTAAGTTACTACTTACTAACGAATGCGTAACAAATCCCAAGTTAGAAAGTAAAAAGGAGTTGTTTCATAGAGAGAATTCTCCTTGTTAAATGTAGAAAAGTAGTCAAATAATGGATGATTCTTTTCATTCCACTCACTATTTTGTTTCTGAACAGAAACCTATGAAAGTTTACTGTAAGGACAATCATAGTTATAATCTTACCATCAGACAAGGTAAGGTTGTTCTTGCTCCATCTGATCCCAATGATGAATTTCAGGTACCATATCAGCAGATCCCACTTAATCTCCTTTTTTTCAAAAGCTTTTGAGTTTTAAGTGCTAAAACTTTTGGTTTTGGTGTTTATCTTTGTTGTTGTTTTAGGAATGGTATAAAGATGAGAAGTTCAGCTCAAGTGTGAAAGATGATGAGGGTTTTCCCGGTTTTTCTCTGATTAATAAAGCCACTGGTGAAGCCATTAAACATCCCACTGGAGCACATGCTCTTGTAAGAAATTCTTTGTTTATTCATAAAACGGTTAAAAAAGTATGTTTGGAGTTTGTTAGCCTTGAAGGTTTGCTTAAAAATTATGGGATTTTGATTTGCAGGTCCAACTCGTACCATACAAACCATATGTTCTGGACAAGTCTGTGATATGGACTGCATCGAATGAAGTCAGGGATGGCTACAAAGCAATACGTATGGTTACTAATAGTCACCTGAATTTCGATGCTTTCATCGGCGATGGTAGCATAATTAATGGTACCAATATTGGTGTATGGGAATGGAACAATGGAGATAACCAAATATGGAAGATTGTACCAAATTGTAAGTTACCCTAAAACCAGACAAATTAATATCATAGAAAGGTTTGAAAGGTTTATTGTTCTTTTATACTATATATTTGTCCTAATGTCTGGACGTGTGGTAAATGCAGGATGCTTGTATGGTGCATGCTGTCGATTTATCACTTCAAATAACCCCTGCTTTGCGTCATCTTCTTCGGGTGTTTTTTTTTTCATTCCGGTGTGTCGTATTTTCTTCTGTGTTTTCATTCCAGTGTGTCGTATTTCTTCTTCGGATGCTTTCTTTGTGTTTTCATTCCAATGTGACGGAAAAGTATGACCACGGTAACGTATGCAAGATGTTTATGTTTTCTCGGATGTTTTTAAATATGCGTGTAAAATAAAATGTGGTGGGACATGTGTAGGATGTTCCTCCGCTATTCTCGTAGAAAATTCTTCATCTCTATTTTCTTCCGCCAACCTACTGTAGGTACAAATTTTAAAATTATTCTCGTCTTTTAATCGGTAAGATTAAAGCCATTCTTGTTTTAGTTATCTGAAGAATAATATCAATATTGTCTATCCGATATCAATATTCAAACCCAGAAAATGTCTTGTTTTACACAAAATTATAAACCCAACTCAATTCTTAAGCTGCTCTAAGATCCTTAAACATTATTTAAAGCTTATGTAAATCAAAATGAGTAATAATAGGTCATTTCTCATGCTCCATAACATCAAAAACATCACAAGCCATGTTCAACTTGAACTCATACAAGCTAACCTTATACATATAATGACTTACATGTGATATAGATAAATTAGAAGCGTGTTACCTTACTCCTAGGGTGATGGAAAACAGCCACAACTCAACCAAACACAAGTTTCTCTTTGCCTTCGCTATTGGAACTTTTTCTAACCCCTTTCACTAATCATAAGTCAAGTAAATGAATTACTTACTTAGGAACTTAGAAAGAAGTTAAGAAGGATTCCTAAGGTTCAAATCCACCAAAAATGCATGAGTTGGTTTAATAAGGGTTTCTAAAATCCCTCTAAACCCCACTTATAGACACCGTTGCAAACTAAGGAAAAGGTGAGCTTGATAGGAAGCCCTAATGATGTTGATTAAAGATCTTACCTTCACAGGTTCGGGCTAGTGTAGTTGGAAGACAAAGCTAGTGTTGTTGGAAGACAAAGCTAGTGTTGTTGGAAGACAGCTAACTCATTTGAGAAAGTTTCAAGGGAAAGGAAGAGAGTGTTTTGAGGAGAAGAAGAAAAGAAGAGTGAAAATGAGGGAGTGAAATTAGCTTTCGCCTGCACGGTTTGAGCCTTTGAAATAATTAATGGGATATTTTCCTTATTGGTCCCTACAAATTTGACCTCAATTTAAAAATACTTTTTTTATCTCTATTTTGGCTCAACTCAAGCTCATGCCAACTCAAACTTGGTCCAAGGCTTTATATAAGGCTAATAGATTTATCCAAAACCTTCTCGGGTCAATCTAAAATTACTAACCTGAAAATTAGGGCGTTACATACACAATGTAAAACTAAGAAATTTTAGGCAAAAAGGCACCTATGGTCTCTAAACTTTTTTAAAAATCCAATATGGCCCTTCAACTCGGAAAAAGAATCCAAATGTAACCCTTTGACCAACGATCGATTTTCTCATTTCGTTAATTCCTACTATTATAAATTGGGTAAATTACACTATTCATCACTCAACTATTTTCTTCTCTTCTATACTGGTCATTGAACTCTAAAAATTTTCAATTTCAGAAACTTTAGAGACTTCAGGGACTAAGGTTATAGTTAACCCATTTTATAACCCAAAATAATACAGGGATAAAATATTAATTTACCCCTTTTTTCATATGTTTTCTCTCCAAACCTATCTTCTCTGCGGCGCCGTTTCCTCTGTTTCCATACGTTTTCAGACTGCGGTTGATTATCTCGGGCAGCTTCATCACCCAAATCTGGTTAAGTTGATTGGATATTGTTCAGAGGGTGAGAACCGTCTTTTATCTACTCACCGGTAACAGAATTACCCATCACCCAAATCTTAATCCAAATTTATAGCTTTCAAATGCCTAGCAAAATAAAAATGACTTAGTACTACTAAAGATAAACCCTTAACAGAATTACCCAGAACTAGTTTTTTGTCAAACTTCATCCCCTCTGGATCAATACCCATCATGGTATTAAACTTAAGAAACAACCCACAAATAAATTGTCAAGAATCAGGTTTACAGAGTCTCCTCCGAAACAAACAAACTTGAAACTTAAGTGGGAAATGTTGAAACTCCTCCTCACATAGTCACGTCGTTCGATCAATTTATATCGTAACAGAAAGAAATGATTAGCACTGAGACAGCTAAATTGTTAACGAACCCTAATGCATTAAACAATAAACTAAATCGTAACAAAGTAATCAGAAAAACTTGCCAAGTAATAGGAAGCGCTATTTTCCTCGGTGAAACAAGTGCACTATAACCTGGGGGAAAATTATTCAGCATGTCAGTTTCATCGTTATGGGTTTCTGACGAGATAAAAGTAGAGAAGAGGGGAGAAAGGCTGCAGTTCTTTTAGCAATTATCTGTGACTAGATGAAAGACCGAAACACGGAACCTGCGTTAAGTATCGCCCCCGAGCTTTCTTGCAGCGTTCTTCACCTACGATTTGGGTAAATGGACATTTTATCCTTGAATTATTTTAGGGTTACAGAAATAACCATGATTAGTAATTTATCCTTGAAATAAAAGTGACTATTTATGTAGTTTACCCTTAAAATAAAATGGGTTAACTACAGCCTTAATCCCTGAATTCTCTAAAATTTCCAAAATTAAAAACTTTTAGAGCTTAATGACCAAAATAGAAGAGAAGAAAATAGTTGAGTGATAATTGATGTAATTTACCCAATTTATAACAGCAAGAATTAATCGAAACGTTGGTTAAAGGGCTACGCTGAGTTCTTTTTCGAGTTGGATGGCTGCTTTGATCCAAAAAATAAGATGAGAGTCACATTAATTTTTAAAAAAAATTCAAGGACCTCGGGTGTCTTTTTACCTAAATTTTACAATGATTATAGTCATTAAATTTAAATAAACTGATGGCTTAGATTAATTAAAGAGATTATAGTTTTTTTGTCTTAAAGAGAAAGAGAAAGAGAAAGGAGGGGAAGATAGTTTTTACATCAAAAAAGAAGAAATATATATTGTTTTGGTATGAATTTAGGAAATATTTGTTTATGAGTTGTAAATTTTAATTAAATCTAATCGATCTATTTATTTAAATCTAATATTTATAAATTAATGTAAAATTTATTATTTTTTATATAGTGTAAGTGAAACCTATTCCATATATATACATATATACATATACCTAGTGTAAAATACCAACTAACATCTTAAAAGGAATTAAATGGAGTGACTAAATGGAGTCATGAAGTAAAATACCAACTAACATCTTAAAAGGAATTAAAAGGAGTAACGAAGAAAAAGGCCGAGCGAGAGTGTCAGTAGGTCTGTAAACGAACAAAATGTTCGGCAGGAAGTTCGTTTATTTATTGAACAAACAAACATGAAGAAGATTTTGTGTTCATTTAATTAAATGAATGAACACGAACAAAAGATTCATTCGTTTATTTACATTTGTTTATATTTCCCACATGACGAGTTTAAATAATTTTTTTCTAAAAATCATCACTTTAACATAACGAGCTTATCTTTTCCATAATAAATATCGTATGTTTTAAAATAAACTTTTAATTGTCCTATTTACTACTAAATTTACCCGGGGCTTAAAAACTGTCGGTGTCAGTCAAATTGCGAGCCATGGAATTAAAGGGCGGTAGGTTTCAGGTAATAACATTTACATTCCCCACTAACCATTTTTGCTCCACTGCTTGCCTGCAATTTTAAAGGGGATTTAACTTTCTGACATTTCATCTGTTAGAATTACATGTGTGATGATGTGGATATCGCTCCACTAACCTTAAACTCACGTACTTTATATTTTTTTATATATACTTTGAGCTATAACAATAAGTGTGAAAGTTATTATAATATATAAAAAAAACATAGAATAGAAAAGAAATTTAGGAAATATGTTCGAATGAAAAGAACAAGTTATTTATGATATTTAATGATGATTTACATGATTTTTTATAAAATCATGAGATGATGATTTTCAAAAGAAAAAGTGGCTTGACTAACCCGATTGGAAGTTTAATGTTTTTATTTAAATTACATTTTATTTATTATATTTTATGAAATTTATGGTTTTATATCACTTTAGTTATATTTCTCTCTCACTAAGTTTTACTTAGCATGTGATGATTTTCATGCGCATGTTAGAATAAAATAGAGGTCATAAAGTGAGGAACTTGTCAGCATTTTATGCAAAATCAAACCTACCACATCCTAACTTTAACTTATTAGTGGCATGTACGTTATATTTGTTGGGTTGCTTTATCAGATTTATTTTAAAAAGGGTTTGTAATAGTAATTAAGGTTATTTTCTTTAGTTTTGTCTAATTTTAGTATTAATCTTATTTATGAGTGAATAGTATAAATGTTATGTTTTAAATTATTTAAAATCAAACAATATTAGACAGTTGTATTTGGATATGAAACAACACTGAAGTGTCTAATTACCGACTGAAATAAATTAGTTTTCAATGATGAAATAGTATTTTATAAATTTTAAATATTGAATTAATACCTGGATTGGGACTGAGTTTCTCCTTTTCATACATATTTATGATTATCCTTTAGAAATTATAGCTATAAAGCTAATCCAGAAAGCACCTTCACTTTCAAAACCTGGAAAGTGGAAACCATGTATAAGGAAATTTTAAATTGACATCGCTTCGCCCATCAATTTGAAGCGTCATCAAATTAGGTGCCACCGAGAAGAGAAAATAGAAATACATTAAACTGACGTGTGACAAATTATTCATGATCAGTAAAATGTTTTATTTTGATCCATAGTTTATTTTCAAATTGATCCTTAAAATTCAGCTATAAATAGTTTAATCATCCGTACCATTTTCTACCATTATATCTAATATATTTAAATAATGGTAAATGACGGGAATCGTCAATCAAAAAATCATATTGAATTCTTTTCTAAATTCAAGGGACACATTGAGTGCGAAAAAGAATTCGAGGATCACATTGACTTTTTTAAAAAAAGTACAATGGCTTATTACCCTTTTACCTAAATAATATTATTTACAATGCAAACCAACTTTGATTTTAAAAGTCAACCATCTTTTTGGTGTTTAGGTTATTTTCAAATTGGTCAGTGAAACTCAACTATAAATAGTTAATCGTTTTATCATTCAGACCATCTCAAATCATTCAGGAGTGTTGGTTTCTCTTTTCATAGAGAGAGTTATCCTTG